ATACAACTTCGTAGTTGTTTGGGTCGACTTCGTAGTCGTAGGCTTCGTAGCCTTGCCGAGATTCCACTCGAGGCATACAACTTCGTAGTTGTTTGGGTCGACTTTGTAGTCGTAGGCTTTGTAGCCTTGCCGAGATTCCACTCGAGGCATACAACTTCGTAGTTGTTTGGGTCGACTTCGTAGTCGTAGGCTTCGTAGCCTTGTCGAGATTCTACTCGAGGCATACAACTTCATAGTTGTTTGGGTCGACTTCGTAGTCGACATCTGGTCGGCTATATAACCGTTTCGAGAAAATCAGTTTATTCAACAATCACAGAAAAGCCGATGCATAAATATAGAGACATATTAGAAGCGCAGAAAATTTATTTCATTACTGGATAAAATTTGATCGTTGCCCAGTACAAAAGGAAAATTCAAAACATTGTTCAAGCATAAAAACGTTTGAGATGGATCACATGCCAAGATCGCGGTAGTTGTCGACCCTCTGCATCTTCGAGTTCATATGCACCTCTCTCAAGCACTTTTGTGACTGTGTATGGCCCTTCCCAGTTAGCTTCTAGTTTTCCGACATGCTTGAGAGCGTCGGCTCGTTTTAAAACGAGGTCTCCTACTTGAAACCGCCTGGTTCGGACTTTCTTGTCGAAGGCTGTACGCATTTTCTGCTTATACTCCACAGATCGCAGCCAAGCTTCCTCTCGTACTTCCTCTATCATGTCGAGGGCTTCTTTTGCTAAATCTTCATTGTTCTTCTCCTCATAAAATGTCGATCTATGAGATTCCAAGCCTACTTCGATGGGCAATAGAGCGTCCATTCCATAAACCATGTGGAATGGTGATTGTCCTGTTGAAGTCCTTGGAGTCGTCCTATAAGCCCATAGGACCGTTGTCAGCTCGTCGACCCAGGCACCAGATGCTTTTTCAAGCCTCTTTTTCAGTCCCTGCAAGATGGTTCTGTTTGTCACCTCGACTTGGTCGTTTGCCTGTGGGTGTGCGACCGAGGCAAATTGCTGTTTGATCCCCATGTCGACACACCACGCCTGGATCCGTTTTCCTTGGAACTGTGTTCCATTATCCGAAATTAAGACGTTTGGAATCCCGAATCGACAGCAAATATTGTTGAACAAGAATTGTATCATTTTGTCCTCGGTAATTTTTGCCAAAGGTTCTGCCTCCACCCATTTACTGAAGTAGTCGATGGCGACCACCATGAATTTCCTTTGCGCTGTCCCCATCGGCAACGGGCCTACTAAATCGATTCCCCATTGAGCAAAGGGGATCGAGCAGTTGATCGTTGTCATTGCTTCGGCTGGCATGTGGGGGATTCGACCATGGCGTTGGCATTTGTCGCAAACTTGCACCAACCGCTCGGCTGCTTTTCGGATCTTGGGCCAATAATAGCCCGCTCGAAGGGCTTTGCCAGCCAGGGCCCGCGATCCCATATGCGCTCCGCAGTACCCCTCATGGATCTCTTTCAAGACATGACCCCCTTCTTCCTCGGACACGCATCGCAAGTGGGGTCCGACCATCGACTTCTTATATAAGACCCCTTCGATCTCAAAATATTTACTCAGATATCGGGCTGCTTTTTCCGCCTCCTGCTTATCTCCTTCTGGTACTCGACCTTGTAACAGTTCACGAATTGCTCGTCGCCAATCCTGTTTTTCGTCGACTTCCATTGCCTCATTTAAGACACTTCCCTCCAAGTGCAGTGTGGTGATATGATTTCCCATCTTTCCTTCGTTCGAACTTGCGATCCTAGCGAGCCAATCGGCTCGCTTATTCTCCTCTCGAGGTACTTGTGTTAACTCAAACCTTTCTAGGCCTCGCACTAGGTTCTGGATTTCCTCGACATATTTGATCATCCGGTCCTCTTTGATTTCGCAATTTCCCAGTACTTTCCCCACAACGAGCTGTGAGTCGGAGTGCGCCATGATTTTCGTTGCCCCACCACCGACTGCCAATTGAATTCCCTTAATTAGAGCTTCATACTCTGCTTCGTTGTTCGAGGCGTTAAACCCCATTCTGATGGCGAAGTCGAGCTGTTCGCCTTCGGGGATACTAGGACGATCCCAAGACCAGACCCCCTGGCCGCCGAGGACCCGTCAACGTGCATTATCCATTTCTTGCTAGCTCCCTTAGTTCCTTCTTGGATGAAGTCGGCCAGGGCTTGGGCTTTTATGGCTCGTCGTGGTTCGTATTTGATAGAATATTCACTGAGATCGACTGCCCACTTTACGAGTCGACCCGACACAATAGGTCGACCCAAGGTTTCTCCAAGCTGGAAGTTCGTCCTTACAATTATCGCATGGTTCAGGAAATATGGCCTTAATTTTCTGGCTGTGATTACTAACGTTAAGGCGGCCTTCTCGACTTCGGAATATCTTGCCTCTGCGCCTTGAAGTACTCGACTTGTATAGTAAATCGGCTGCTGGGCTCCTTCAGCTTCTCGCAGTAATACAGAACTTAGGGAAAATATTCCCACCGAAATATAGAGAACTAATTCATCGCCTGGCTCTGGCTTTGTTAACAACGGCAGCTCGCTCAAAAACTCCTTCAACTTTTCAAATGCCATTTGAGCCTCGTCATTCCACTGAAAAGCTTTTTTCTTAAGTAACTTGAAGAATGGGAAACTCCTTTCCACAGCTCGAGCTATGAACCGGCTCAGGCCTGCAATTCGACCCGTTAAGACCTGCAGTTCTCTAACATTTTTTGGCGGGGCCATGTCGAGTATGGCTTTCACCTTGTCCTTATTTACTTCAATGCCTTTTTCAGTCACTATGTAGCCCAGGAATCGCCCTGCCCTCACTCCGAAAGCGCATTTGCTTGGGTTTAGCTTCATCCCATAAGTCCTTAGTGTCTTGAAAGCTTCTTTCAGATCTTCTACGTGTGAGGTCGAGGACCTACTTTTTACCAAGATATCGTCCACATATACCTCCATATTGCGTCCGATCTGCGACCTGAACATTCGATCCATCAACCTCTGGTATGTTGCTCCTGCATTTTTAAGCCCAAAGGGCATGACGACATAACAGTACGTCCCTTTGCTTGTGACAAAGCTAACTTTGCTCTGGTCTTCGGGGGCCAATGGGATTTGGTGGTACCCCAGGGATGCATCCATCATGCTTAGCAACTCGCAACCAGCTGTAGAATCGACTAGCTGATCAATCCTTGGCAGAGGGTAGTGGTCTTTGGGACACGCCAAGTTTAGGTCGCGGAAGTCGATACACATACGCCATTTGCTCAATGCTTTCTTCACCATTACAGTGTTGGATATCCATTCGGGGAATTGGATCTCTTTGATGTGCTTGGCCTTTAACAACTTATCCACCTCGACCTCGATTGCTTTGTCTATCTCAGCCCCATGGTGTCTGAGTCGCTGCTTGACGGTCTTTTTGAGGGGGTCGACATTGAGCTTATGTTCCATGACTTCCGGATCGATTCCTGTTAATTCCTCTGGAGGGAAAGCAAAGATGTCTCTAAATTCCCTCAGTAATTCCACCAACTGCCCCCTCAACTCGTCTTCCAATTCTTTCCCGACTTTAGTTGTTTGGTCCTCCCTTTCTCCGATCTAAATTTCCATCAGCTCTCCGTGTGGTTCGAGGTCGCTTCCCCTCGGTCTTTTTTCATTCGATCCCAGCTTCTTTCCTTCTTTTGGCTCCGTTCGTTTGTTCGTCCTTACCGCTATCTGGTAACATGCTCTGGATAGTTTTTGATCTCCTCGAGCTTCTCGCACCCGATCTCCGACTTGAAATTTCAACTTCATATGGTAAGTCGATACCACAGCTTGGAAAGTATTCAGTGTCGGTCTCCCGAGGATCACGTTATAAGCTGATTCGACATCGACCACCACAAACCTTATCATCTTCACTTTTCTCAAGTCTCCTTCTCCTAAGACGACAGCAAGCGTGGTTTCTCCCAAGGGTGCGACCTCTGAGCCATTAAACCCAAAAAGAGACGTGTGCAAGGGTGCCAGTTCGATGTCGAGGTCCATCCTTTTGAGACAATCGTAAAAGATCACATTTACTGAGCTTCCAGTGTCGACAAAAACCCTTTGCACCTCATAGCCCGACACCTGGGCGGTTATCATTAGAGCATCGTTGTGAGGCCTCTCGACCTCTCCTAATTCGCTGGTCCAAAATTCATCACCGGTTCCCCTTCAGCGACTTGGTGTATCTCGACTTTGGCATGCTTCCCTCGGGAGTATGCTTTTCGTGCTCGGTTTGAATCTCCGTCAGTCGGCCCACCAAAGATCATGTGAATTATCCCTTTTTTTCAGGGGGAGCTCGTCCTTTTCTGGTGACCTTGTCCTCTTACGAGGACTCTTACTCCTTTCTTTCCTTCGGCTTGTCCTTTCCCGATCTTTGTATATGAATTCTTTCAAGTGGTCGGCCTTTATTAACCTTTCTATCTCGTCCTTGAGGTGTCTGCAATCGTCGGTGTTGTGTCCGTAGTCCTTGTGGAATCGACAATATGGGTTGCTTTTAGGCCTCGTTGGTCCATCATTCCTTGTCTTAGGCCATCTTACCACATGGTCGCGAATCTCCCTCTCCATTACTTCCAAGATCCTAGCTTGTGGAGCCATCAGGGGAATGTAATGAGTCGGCCTCCAACCTCTGGGCCGTCCTTCCCTTTCTGCTCGCGGGGACCCCTTTCTCTCCCCAGTCGAGGAAACTCTCTTCTTTTTTCTTTCGTCTCGAGGGTCTATTTTGATCGTTTTAGATGCCTGTGAGAAGTCAGCCTCTGCTTCTTCGACGTTCATGTATTTTGCACACCTTCCAAGCACCTCATCAAACGTCCTGCCTGGGCGTTTGGCTAAAGAGTTCCTACACAGACCTGGCAGTAGCCCTCGGGTCAAGCCCCCCGCCTTTATCTCCTCTGACGCTCTGGGCACCTCGACGCAGGCCCGGGCGTATCTTGCCACATAGTCTCGTAACGACTCGCCTTCTTTCTGTTGTATGCCCATCAATGTTAAAAACGACTTCTCTTGTGGCCTGACACTAGCAAATTGATTGAGGAAACTCGAGCTGAACCCCTCGAAATCCTTGATAGCTCCTGCTGGTAACTGGTGGAACCAATCCTGAGCGGAACCTCGTAAAGTTGTCAGGAAAGCTCGACATTGCACTGGATCATTGTAGCGATGGAGCACCGCCATATTCTCGAAACTCCTCATATGCCGAGAAGGGTCGGTCGACCCGTCGTAGCTTATGTTCAAATCGTGAAAGCCTTGTGGTAGATCAGCATCGAGGATATGCTGTGAGAACGGGTGTCCTCTCGAGCCACTGGTTTTTCTTCCCTCGACTCGGGCTTGCAAATCACGCACTTGGGGCAGCAATTGCTCCAGTGTTTCATCTCTCGCTTGCGGGTTAACAGTCCTGATAGAGGAAGCCTCCTCTTCTGCCCTCCTATTCTGCCTCTCGTTGGACTGGGCCTGTTGCTCTCGCTCGATGTTTGGCTGTTCGATCCTTAGTGGCTCGACCCTAGGTTGTTCGGGTTGAACTTGCTTGAGCTGAGCTGCCACTGCTTCCGCTATCATCCTTTGCATCTCATCTCTTGTCATTGTTACGGTTTGCTCCTCGACCCGGGATGGGACGAGCGTTTGTTCTGGCCCTTCCTGGATTTTCTTTCCCGCGCGTCGAGACATCTCCGTTGGCTCTCCTCCACCCGTATTGGGGTTTTGGCTTGCCCCTGCTGAGGTCAGCACCGACACCTTCACTCCGGGTGGAGTAATAGGCGTTTCTCCACCCAGAATCACTCCCGGGGGTGGGGGTCCTCCGAACGGTGGTATTCCCAGCACCTGCATCGTCGGGGGTCTGGGGGCAGAGAGAGGGGGCGGTCTCCTTTCTGTCCAGGTTCCCCTGAATTCCTCGTTCAAATTCCTCTGTAAACCTTCCTTCTCAGCCATCGGTGACGGATCGGAGCTAGGTGCGAAGCTCTTAGTTCCTTCAAGAACTCCCCACAGACGACGCGAAAATGATGGGTCTCTTTCCAGATCCGGAGCGATCTGATGAGAATAGGCTCAGATCTGGAGCGAACCGATGAGGGTGAACTCAGATCTGACTTAAAGGCTTCTAAAATGCTACCGAACCGCGGGAACACCTGCAAGAACTCAACGCCGGAGGGGTTTCCGGCGTAGAGCTTCCGACGCTCAAATCAGTATATGAACAAAATGAGGAACTGCTCTGAGGAAGCAGCAGTAATGGAGGAGAATATGGAGTGAATGGGAGTTAGGGTTTAGGGCTACCTCTTCTCCTTTATATAGGAGGGAGAATTTACCTGAGATGCCTAAAATGCCCCAAGTCGGTGGTCCTGGAAAGTCCAAACTGCCCTGGTCGATTCATCTCCCCTCTTTGCTGAGTCATCCCCAGATTCCTTCTTATCCATAGGTGGACAAGGGGTTCTAATGAATACGCCGTGTATGAAGTCGGCTGCATGTTTTATGTGACGAGATATGGGACGTCGACCTCGAGCACTCCTTCAACCACTCATGTTCCTACTGTTCAGGGGTCGTCCCCATAGGTTCTTGTTTATACACTGACTTCTAGGAAGGTCGACCGACTCAAGCCGACCTTTAGAAGTCGACCTATGTCGACTTCTCGAATATCCGATACTCTGCTTTATGGCCGGGTCGACTTTGAACGAAGTCGACCCAAGCACCTTCTCGTCCCGAGTCAATGCGCGGGAGGAGCTGATAACCTTCGAGTCGAGGAGAGAGAGCCTTTGGATCGGTATATCTTTATAGGGCTATATCAAGAGATGACTCGGTATTGCAAGAAATGCCGAACAGCTTACGAGGATCATCGTGTCGAGAAATATCGTCATACAGAACGATTCGGGCATGATTGACCAACTCACGGTCTTTTATTATGCGTCGAGCGCTATAAGTACACTTATTCAACTCCTCTAAAAATCTTTCGAAATCCTCGGATCGAGACCGTTTATTCTGTTTAACTTTGGTACTTATCCAATTATTTGTATAAGGATAAGCACCGACGGGAGGTCGAATGAAGACAAATTTCGACTTCCACTCGGGGATATTTGAAGAAAGATCATCGAGAAAGATAACGCCAGGACGACGGATCAAACAATGGGCCCCCTTTTGAAGTCGATAGCTATAACAATAATGAAAAAAATCGGTCGAGAAAAAATGAAGAATTATACAAGAAACAACGATAAAAGCTATCATGATACAAAGAGCATTTGGAGAAAACTGATTTATTGGGATTTTATACAAGTCGCTTATCTCCAAAAGCTCGGCTTGTATAGGGAAACGTAGACCGAAAACGACTTGGTCGACAAAGAAAGTATGATAACCCTCGGGAGGACAGGCGAAGTTACTGTCGGGACCCGGAGTAACCAACCCCCAATCGGAAGGAAGCCCGCTGAACTGCCGGAAGCTCTCGACTTGACCCGCAGAGGCATAGGAAAAAGGGTTCAAGGTGGCCAATTTGGCCAAGGTACAGGCTACTGAAACAGACTTCCGAGGGTCGAGAGGAGTAACTAAAGATACATGTACAGGACTGGTACTATACACGGGAATATCTAAAAAACTAATAGGAATACCTCGAGGAATTAAGTCGAGGCGAGGAGAGCCTTCCCCAGGACCCCTCACTATTTCTACGAGACCACCATCCAACAGGGCCTGATCATATTCGGCCCAGTCGACTCTTGGGGTCGAAGTACGCGACGAAGAGGGCGAAACGTAAACCATCCTACAGCCGATAATCTCGACTGAGCTTGAGTCAGCTTGGTCAAGGCCCCTGTCGATTAATCTGTCGAGGGTGTCGGGCGAAGAGACGGAGTTGAAAGCTAAAAAGGAAAAGAAACAAAGACAAAGATCAGACATGACGAAACAAAATCAAGCAAAGCATAATAGACTCACTTAAGTCGACATAGATACAAAAAAAGGGGAAAGTGGTACGGTGTATTTCAGTAGAAATAGGAAGGCAAGACGACAGAAAGTCGACTCAGGGAAAGTACAAAAAGAAAAGGAACGAATGTCGATAAGAGTCGACATAATAAAAGCCGACAAGAGGTTATACGCGATAGCCTAAGTCGCACGATAACAATTTACCTAGTTGAAGAGTGATTCACACAAGATCCAGCATAAAATCTCCAAAAAAAAAAAAAAAAAACAAAAAATTTTGAAGAACACGAAGAACACAGCGAGGCAGGGAAACCCGGAAAACCAGAAAATAGGAGAAAGAAGGAATAGAATAGTAGAAAGAATAAAAATACTTACACATATCGCCGATCTGACAGGTGATTAAAATTCTGCAAACGATGAAAAAGGTCGCCGGAAAAGAAAGCTTGGGTCTTTGAATCACCGGAGTAGCAGAAGAAATTGGGGAGCAGTAAAAAAGACTTGAGAAAGAAATCCAATTTTATTTATAGAGAGTAGGATGGATGTCAGCCGTTAGATTGAAAGGGAACCAACGACCGTGATAAGGCACAGAATGCGAGGAGTCAGCGGTTAACATGACGCGCGTCACTTAAAGGATTTGAAATTCGAAATGTATAAAGAAAAAAGGCGGCACTATCAGCCATATCTTGAATAAATAATCATTAATTGGGAAGATTTGACCCAGAAAGCAAGACATGGTAGGTAACCGAGGAAGTCGGGAACCTTAAAGTCGGGAAGAAGTAATGACCGCCCCCCCCCCTTTTTTCGCATCGATTTCAGCACAATAGCCAGAATATCGAATTTTTTGAAACAACTATATAGCCGGTTTCAAAAAACTTAAGTTCAACTGCTATAATGCTGTTAAAACTGTTGCTCGACTTCGACCAGCTCGCAAAATGGGTTGGGAGAGGACGACTCGAAAAACTTAAGTTCAACAGCTATAATGCTGTTAAAACTGTTGCTCGACTTCGACCAGCTCGCAAAATGGGTTGGGAGAGGACGACTCGAA